ATCCCACATGTCACAACTAAGCCCTGGCGCAGCCTAAGTAAATTAATTAATAAATTTTAAAAAAGAAAAGGAAAGAAAAGAATCATGGGAATTTCCTGCCTGTCCAGTCGGTTAGGACTCTGTCTTTCCACTGTAGGGGGCACAGGTTCGATCCCTGGCTGGGGAACTAGGATCCCACAAGCTGCACAGTGCAGCCAAAAAAAAAAAAAAAAGAATCACAACTACATAATTTTTTAGGTTTTTGGTATGTATGTTAAGAATTGTGTACAGAGCTTCCCTGGTGGCACAGTGGTTGAGAATCCGCCTGCCGATGCAGGGGACACGGGTTCGATCTGTGGTCCGGGAAGATCCCACATGCCGTGGAGCCACTAAGCCCGTGCACCACAACTACTGAGCCTGTGCTCTAGAGCCAATGAGCCACAACTACTGAGCCCACGTGCCGCAACTACTGAAACCTGCGTGCCTGGAGCCCGTGCTCCACAATAAGAGAAGCCTCTGCAATGAGAAGCCCGTGCACTGCAACGAAGAGTAGCCCCCGTTTGCCGCAACTAGAGAAAGCCTGTGCACAGCAACAAAGACCCAACACAGCCAAAAATAAATAAATAAAATAAATGTATTTTAAAAAAATGAATTGTGTACAAATTGAAATGCCTGTGTACTGATCCTCAAAACAACCAATAAAATCTCAATTATGAAAGAAAAGAAAACAAAACAAAAATGAAGATAGTTTAAGGGGCCACTGAGAGGACATCAAGCAGACTAACATTTGCATTGTAGGGTCCCAGAAGGAGGAGAGAGAGAAAGGGACAGAAAACCCATTTGAAGAAATAATGGCTGAAAAGTTCCTTAACCTGGCAAAGGAACCAGAAAACCAAGTCCAGGAAGCACTGAGTCCCAAAAAAGATGTACCCAAAGAGACCCACACCAAAGACACATAATTAAAATGTCAAAAGTTAAAGACCGTTTTCAAACTTTTCCAACAAAATATTCATAAAAATTAAAGAAGGAAAGTTCTAGAGATGTAACAAAAAGCTCTCCATCCCCACAGTGAAACCACTTTGAAAATCTACCTTTAAAATTCACGTGGGGCTTCCCTGGTGGCGCAGTGTTCCCACATGCTGCGGAGCAACTAAGCCCGTGCACCACAACTAGTGAGCCTGCGCTCTAGAGCCCGTGGACCACAACTACTGAAGCCCGCGCTCCTAGAGCCTGTGCTCCGCAACAAGAAAAGCCACCGCAGTGAGAAGCCTGTGCACCACAAGGAATAGTAGCCCCCGCTCGCCGCAACTAGAGAAAGGCCACGAGCAGCCAAAAAATAAATAAAATAAATAAATTTTTTTAAAAAAGAAAGAAAATGCAAATTCACATGAATTTTTTAAAATTTATTTATTTAATTTATTTTTTGGCTGCGTTCGGTCTTCGCTGCTGCGCGCAGCCTTTCTCTAGTTGTGGCGAGCAGGGGCTACTCTTCCTTGCAGTGCGCGGGCTTCTCATTGCGGTGGCTTCTCTTGTTGCGGAGCACGGGCTCTAGGAGCGCGGGCTTCAGTAGTTGCGGCACACGGACTCAGTAGTTGTGGCTCACAGGCTCTAGAGCGTAAGCTCAGTAGTTGTGGCACACGGGCTTAGTTGCTCCACGGCGTGTGGGATCTTCCTGGACCAGGGCTCAAACCCATTTCCCCTGCATTGGCAGGTGGATTCTTAACCACTGAGCCACCAGGGAAGTCCCTGCATTTTATTTCATAATATAACCAAATGCAAAAGAATATATAGTCAAAAGTAAGTTTCACAAGTGTTGAACTCTTATACTACTGGTGGAGTGTCAGTTGGTACAGTCACTCTGGAAAGCTGGCAGTATATACTAAAGCTGAAAATATGCTATACCCTATGACCTAGTAATTTCATTCCTAGGTGTATACCCAACAGAAATGAATACATATGTTTACTGAAAGACATGTGCTCACAGCAACACAAGTTGCAATAGCTCAAAACTGGAAACTATCCACAACAGTAGAATGAATAAACGAAGTGGGATATTCACTACATGGAATACCATTCAGGAATGAGAATGAATCATCTACAACCACATGTATAATATGGATGAATCTTATAGACAAATGTTGAGCAAAAGAAGCCAGACACAAAATAGTATACATGATTCTATTCATATAAGGTATAAAAACAGGCAAAACTAATGCAAGCTATTAAGAATCGGGATAGAGGGTTACCTTCTTTGTTTCTAGGGTGCCGATGAGATTCTGATTCCTGTTCTAGGTGCTGGTTACTCAGATGTGTTCAGTTTGTGAAAATTGAGCCATGCACTTGTGATATGTGAACTTATTTGTGTATTATGCTTCAATTTTTTACAAAAAGTCTCTCCTCTAGTCCCTTTCCCCTCCCAAGAGGCAATTTCTGTTACCAGTTTCTTATGTCCTTCCTGAGTTATTTTACTTTTTTACTTTTTTTTTTGACCGCGCGGCATGTGAGATCTTAGTTCCCCAAGCAGGGATCGAACCCACGCCCCCTGCATTGGAAGGCAAATTCTTAAGGCAGGTTCAGACTGGACCACCAGGGAAGTCCTCCAACTTCATTCTTTTTCATGTCCCAGCAGCACTTGTTGAAAAGACGTTCTTTCCTTGCAGTGTCTTGGCACCTTTGTTGCAAATCAGTTGATCATAAATACAAGGGTTTATTTCTGGAAGAACATTTTGTCTTATTTAATACATCTCTCTCATTTGGATCTCTAAGAATTAGAATCCCTGAAAACTCTAGTTACTTCCCTTCTCCCATGCCCAGCCACCCTGGTAGATGGCTGTAGGTACATTTGGAAAAGGGTAGGAAGAAGTTTTACAGTGTTTTGCCAAATGTAACATAGCCCTTCATCAAGGGGACCCAGCCTTCCCTTATTCAAGGGGCTCTAGGTCTGGAATTGGCTCAAGTCTGAGAATTTGCTGAGGGTAGAGCCTTGTGTTTTTTGGCGTACTCAGCAAGATGTGTAGCAACATGAGAGACCCATGGAGGAGCATCTCCTAACACTGACTTTATGGGGTTCTTGTACCAACTACAGATTGGCATATATATAAAATGCTTAATGTCACGGTACATGGCACATCATAAATGCTCAACAAAATAGCTAGAATACTATTGCAGTAGGCCAAAGAATAAACAGAGTGGATGTAGTGAATGTAGGCTACTGTTGTTTTTAAAAACTTAGCTGAAAATAGGAGATGGGGACAGAAGCCAAAGGGAAATTTCTTTGTTTTCAAAGACAGATTTTACCATGTTTATAGGTTGGCATGTATATATTCCAGGCAAAAGAGGGACTCTGAAACCATAAAACTATAAGAGAATAATAGACGGAGCAAAGTCCCTGAGAGGGCATAAGTAGATGAAATCCAGGCACACCTACACAGACAAGCTCTGCGTATGAGGGACTTCCCATGAGGTGGGGAAGCAAGTACGAGTGGTCACACTGGTAAATATGGAGTCACAGCAGGGAGTGGAATGTTAAGGGAGTTCCTGCTTGACATCCTGTGTTTTCTTGGTGAAGGGGAAGGCAGTCACTGGTTCGGGGCTATAAAAGACATAAACAATGTTGAAGGTTCAGCTGAGGATGGAGTGGAAAGGCTGGCCCCTCTCAGCAGCACTGTGATTTTTTTTTTTTCTTCATAGCTCACATATAGGCATGAAGACAGATGGGAGATATACCCATATTGGGGCTGTGGATTAGTTAATTCTTTTGGTTGCAAGCAACAGAAACTCAAACTACCTGAAGCAGAAGGGAGAATTACTTGGAAGAATACTGGGATCTCCTGCTGACTACAGTTAATTGTCAAAGGGATCCTGGGACTGAAGTGCATCAGGAAACCTAAGAACTTGTCTGTCATCTCGGCCCTCCACAGACCACATACTGGGACTTGGCTACCAAACGGCTCCCAAGTTTATGCGTTACAATCCAGGCCCAAAGAAATTTCTAAAATTCCTAGGTAAGGAAGAAGTTGGGTCAGCCTGGTGACAGAGGTACGGAAAAGAGGCAGCTCTAAAACAGGAGGCTACAGGCAGAATTCTAATAGGTTTCTGCTAGGAAAGGGTGGGTTTCCATCAGAACTGTAAAAATGTCTACTTAGTCAAGGGACTAGATTTACATTTTATAAACAGTAATTCCACACAGAACATAACCATTCGTCAGACATTTTAATGAAACCCAATCTGGTATGACCCCTGCTTTTGGGGTAGCCCATCAATCCAAGGAGAAACAAACAGTTACAATGCAACTTGCTAAATACCAGAACAGGTAATTACAAACACCCTGTGCCCCAGCTACACCCCCCTGGGGCTGATATCAGGTGGACTGAGGGAAGAAGCAACAGGGGTAGGAGGATGACCCACACCAGCTGTTAAAATATGGGATATGTCATGTTTAGAAATTCAATTTGGTACAACTACCCAAGGCAGAGTGGTAGGCCTTGTTTACTTAATTCAGTAAAGCTTTACTGCACACCTACTTAGGAATGGGTGCCATGGAGGCATATCAAAATTAAAACACATTGCTGCTGCTGCTGCTGTCTGGAGCTTTTATTAGGGAGGCAGGGCATGAACACAACTTGATCACTACAGACTCTTCCTGCTTTGTATTCAGTTACCTAACTCCTTAACCTCCTTGAATGGCCTCACTTCATTTCATGAAAAATGTTCACAGAGGACTCATGGAAGGTTCTGTGCCAGTGTCCTGATTCTGATGAGACTCGGGGAGGAGTGAGACCCAGTTCTCAAGAATTTTCCAGCTACTGGCTGCCTGGAACTAATCCAAATCCACCAGATAAAGTACAACAAGCTGGTCCTGGTTCTACTTCTTGCTGCCTAGACCACAGCTCCCCTGTTTTTCCTTAAAAATAATCTTCTCCCAAAGCTCACTGCGCTTATGTCCCAGACCCATCTTGAACCAACTTTCCAAACACAGGATGCAGATGACTTCACAGCATGTGGTTTTAGAACAAAAGAAAAAGCTTAGGTATTTAGGTGTCTGAAACCCAATAAATTCCTGGTACACTGCTACCACCCTGAAATCCAATGCAATCTAGAGCTGTTAAAACAAGTACAGACCAAGGAGGTACAGTGTATACTGTGATGCTGGCTTACTTTGTATGATCCTTTAAAAAGGACATTGAAAAACCAGCACCTGTTTGGGGAGAGATCATGTGTGGGACTTGAATACCTATCTTTAAGGAATGAGTGACCAAATTAATGCTAATTAACCTGAAAACATGGGGGCAGAGTATTTATGGTTAAGTTTTCTGAAGGGCTGCCATGTAGATCAAGTTTTAAACATATTCTGGGCAAGGCTTCCAGGGAAGGAGAATGTTGTTCTTAAGGACCTTCTAATTGTCAGAGCTGTCCCACAGTGAAATGACCTGCCTTGTGAGGTAGTGAGCTCCCTGTCAAGGGAGGTTTTAAAGGGTAGAAGACCACTTGGCAGGAATATCGTCAAAAGGGGGCTAAACCAGGTTTGTTTAAACCTGGCATGGAGGAAGAGGCAGAGGAGGAGGAGATCTTGCTCCCCATAAATGGGATCCTCCTGACTGCATGCATGGGGACAGGTAATCCCTGCGTGCACAAACTAGAAAACACAAAGCCCGTAAATTCGATGGGGGGAACTTTTAGCGCAATATCCACACACAGAAACTCTTTTAGGATAGGGTAGGTTGGAAAACTTTAACCAAATAATGTCACTTCTCCTACTGGGACTGTCTGTTCTAGACACATGTATTAAGGCAGCCAGCGTGGTAGAAAAAAGTTCAGCTCTGTGTAGCAAGAGACCTGGGTTTTAGTTCTGACTCTGCCCTGTATGACTGGGGGCTCCTTCCCTTTTCTGGGCCCCTCCGCGAAAAGAAATGAACTTACACAGTCCTTCCCATTCTAAAGGGTGTTGCCTTTCTGGCTAGGCACCCCTATAGCAGATCTAGGGCTACAGTTCTGGACCCCAGGGCTACACTTGTGGACGGCCAGAGACCACCTCTGGCGGAAGCAACGGCCACACTCGAGGCAGGGGAAGGGCTTCTCCCCAGTGTGCAGGAGCTGGTGCTGAGCCAGGTGGCTCCACTGGGCGAACCGCTTGGAGCACAGGTCGCAGGCATAGGGCCGCTCGCCCGAGTGGACGCGCCGGTGACTGGCCAGCAGTGAGGGGTAGGCGAAGCGGCGGCCACAGTCGTCACACGCGTGCAGTTTCTCCTCAGTGTGCGTGCTGCGGTGTATGGCGAGGGAACCGCTCCGCCGGAAGGCACGTCCACAGTCCGGGCAGGGATAGGGCTTCTCTCCCGTGTGCAAGAGCTGGTGCTGGAGCAGTGTGCTGCGCTGGGAGAAGCGGGCCTCGCAGTGCTCGCAGGCATAGGGACGCTCTCCGGAGTGCACCCGCCGGTGACTGACCAGACGAGAGGAGGAGGAGAAGCGCCGCTCGCAGTCCGGGCATGGGTAGGGCTTCTCGCCCGTGTGGATGCGCTGGTGGATGACCAGGGCGGTGCGTTGGCGGAAGCGCCGGCTGCATTCCAGGCAGGTGTAGGGCTTCTCTCCAGTGTGTGTGCGCTGGTGGATGGCGAGCAGGGAGGGGTAGGCGAAGCGACGCCCGCAGCTGGGGCACTGGTGGGGTTTTTCACCCGTGTGTGTGGTCCGGTGATTGGCCAAGGACCTGCTCCTCCGGAAGCAGCGGCCACAGTCAGGACAATGGTAGGGCTTCTCGCCTGTGTGGATAACCTGGTGCTGGGAGAGGTTCTTGCGCTGGGAGAACCGCTTGCCACACTGGTCACAAACGTAGGGACACTCTCCAGAGTGTGCCCGCCGGTGACTGACCAGCAGGGACGGGTAAGAAAAGCGGCGCCCACAGTCTGGGCAAGGGTAAGGCTTTTTCAGATTCTGGGCACACTTGTGGCTCTGCAGGGCCGGGTGATCGGGAAAGGTACAACCACAGTCAGGGCAGATGGGACCTCCGGATGTCTGCCTGGGGATCAGGCGGGGTTTGCTGGGCCGGCGGCCTCGCTTCCCCTTTCGGGGTGCCTCCTTAGGCGGGAATACTTCCTTCTCTTCATTCTTCTTTCTGGTTCTGGTTTCTACAGGAACACAAAGGAGAAATTAATTTAACAAACACTGGGCTCCTACTCTTTCCTATTATATTGATACAGGTTATAAAACAGACTCGGCCCGTCTTCAAGGAATGTCAGTGACAAAGACAACCAACCAAGTGTGACATACGGCTATGGAAATATGGAGGGTACTACAGGAGCCCCTAATCCAGCTTGGAGAAATCAGGGAAGGTTTCTTGGAGGAGATTAAGCTGACTTTAAAAAGGTTTTGGGGGCTTCCCTGGTGGCGCAGTGGTTAAGAATCCTCCTGCCAATGCAGGGGACACGGATTTGAGTCCTGCACTGGGAAGATCTCACATGCTGCGGAGCAACTAAGCCCGTGCGCCACAACTACTGAGCCTGCATTCTAGAGCCCATGAGCCTCAACTACTGAAGCCCGCATGTCTAGAGCCCCAGCTCTGCAACAAGAGAAGCCACTGCAATGAGAAGCCCACGCACTGCAAGGAAGAGTAGCCCTGCTCGCCACAACCAGAGAAAGCCTGCGTGCAGCAAAAGACCCAACTCAGCCAAAAATAAATAAATAAATTAATTAATTTAAAAAAAAAGTTTTGGGGACTTCCCTGGAGGTCAGCGCTTCCATTGCAGGGGGTATGGGTTCGATCCCTGGTCCAGGAACTAAGATCCCGCATGCCGCATAAAGTGGCCAAAAATAAACAAATGAATAAAATAAAAAAATTAAAATTTTTTTTAGTTTTTGAAGAGGTAAGTATAAGGCAGGAAGTGGAAACAAATGAGGTATGATTTGGCATTGACTAGGTCATAAGGCCCTTTAAGCCAATGCTTCACAAATTCTGAATCATTTGGAGGGTTTAATGAAACATTGCTGGGCCCTACCCCCAGTTTTAGATTCAACATGTCTAGGATGGGGTCCAGGAATTTACATTTTCTAATACATTCCCGAGTGATGCTGCTGCTGCTGCTGCTGGTCTGAGGACCACACTGTGAGAACCAAACCTAAACGTACATCCAAATCAACTGAGGCTATTAAAATATGTATATGTTCATAGATATCCATAAGAGTAAATGAGTCGTTCTGGGATGGGGTCCAGGAATCTGTATTTTCACCAAGTTCCCCAAGTGTCTTAGATATAACTGACAGCCATTTGACAACCTGCCTTGGCAAAAACTGAAAGGTTTTTTTTTTTTTTTTCTGGTACGCGGGCCTCTCACTGTTGTGGCCTCTCCCGTTGCGGAGCACAGGCTCTGGACGCGCAGGCTCAGCGGCCATGGCTCACGGGCCTAGCCGCTCCACCACATGTGGGATCTTCCCAGACCGGGGCACGAACCCGTGTCCCCTGCATTGGCAGGCGGACTCTCAAGCACTGCGCCACCAGGGAAGCCAAACTGAAAGGTTTTAAGCAAGGAAATATCATGTCTGATCGGAATCTTACAAAGATAGCCCTGCTCCTAGAGAATGTGGCTCAGAAACTCCAGCCCAGACAGTTCCATCTGCCCCTGTAGGTGGATCTGGGGGGCCCTTCTACCTGAATGGCCTTAATCAGAGCCTTGCTTGATCCTGAGGAGACTGGCAGATTCCTGCACTGATCGGGGTCATTCTGCCAGAAGGGCAAAAAGAGGCCCCTGCACCCCAGGCCACTGTTCCCCATAAGATCCCTTCAACCAAAACCTGGAAAACTCAGAGGTATAGGCTCTCTCAGTCAGAGCCCAATTCAAAGCATGCTGGAGACAGAGTCCTGGGGAGGAAGGAGGGTTGTAGCTCTTTTGAAAAGCTCACTGATCCATTACACAACAGACAACTGCAGGTGGTCAGTTTACAAACTGACAAGTGAATCTTTGGTAGAGGGACTCAACACCGTGAAAGAGACAGGAACCCTGAAGTTGTAAAAACGAACACGGTAAATGGAGCGTGGGTCATAGGTACCCCTAGCCACGGAAACTCTGGACTGAGTCATTAGAGGCTGCAAGCCCTCCGAGGCATTTTTCACTTACTTCTTTGGACTGTTACCCTCCTAGGGCACTCCTGTGGATCCAGAGCAGCCGGTTCCCAATCATCGGTATTTCGTTCCAACCAGGAGATGAGGGCTGGTTTGGGACCTGCGCACCCTGGGGAAGAAGAATCAGTCAGAGGCCCAGCTCGTACATAACGCTGGGTAGACTTATCTACCCGGTGGCATCTCCTGCCAAACCCCTGTCCTCCCGCCCGACACAACCTCTTCGTAGGCCAGGACCATGGACACTCTGGACTCCCACCCCCAGTTCCTCCATCCCTTCGGGTCCCGCGGAAGCGGATTGGGGCGGGCCTCACCGAGCGCGCCCAGGTGGCCGTAGGTCTCCTGCATAACGTCCCGGTACAGGGCCCTCTGCGCGGGCCGCAGACACTCCCACTCCTCCGGGGAGAAGTACACGGCCACGTCCCCGAACTTCACCGCCCTCGGCCTCCTTCCCCTTCTCCGGCCGGGTCCGGCCTCTCCTGGTCCCCGCGCGGGGAGCGGAGCCGAAGGCCGCGCCATTGGACCCGACAAGCCGGCGCCACGGCTGTCCCGGCCTTGACCGCTGGGCGCTGGCGGGCCCCGGGATTTGGGAGCCCAAGCAGGATCCGGGCGGAGCGTGCCTGGGGAGACCAGGAGGGAACAGGAATCGGCCGCCGGCGGGGCTAACGGAAGCCTTTCGCTGTTATTCAGGAAACTCCTGCCCGAACTTGGGTGAAAAGCACCGGAAGATGCCTTCGGGGAAAATGGCGGCGCCGCTACTGCACCGCCTTTGCCTGAAACACAGGCAGCTTCCAGCTATCGATTTTATTGACCGGAGCGCCATGCCGGCTCCCTAACCTCTTTGCCCTCAAGTGTGATGGCGCTGCGATTGGGCTTCACGCCCTTTTTCCCCCCATTCCACGCGGTCATTGGGCGGTGGCCTAAGATCGAGTATTCTGATTGGGTGTTGCCAAAAGCGGCCTGTTTGAACGAAGCCAACGAAAGCGTAAGGGCAGAAAGCTGGACCCTCGGTGTCGGGTGACTGCCCGGGAGTCTGGAGGCGGGAAGGGGCGACCCCGCCTGGGATCAGTAATGGTCCTGTTTCTTGGAGGCGCAGCCTAGCCGAGGGAGGGAAGGATTTGAGCGACGGAGCCACTCTGGCCAACCCGGGGCTGGAATATTCCTGGGTCTCCTTTCCTGGCTTTCTCAGAGGAGCCTTCTCTTGCCATAGTGGGTAACTCCCTCCTTGCCCTTTGGGGAAGGGAATTAACGTTAGCGTTTCCTGTGCGCAGGTACCATGCCCAACATATTACACGTTCAACGTATTTATTTTTTGCTACCATGTGTGAAATGATGATTATCATCCTGGTTCTACTGATGAGGAAAATCTCAGAGGGTACTTGCTAGTAAGGAGAAGAACAAAGATTTTGTCCAACTGAAGAAAACGTACAACCTAAAAGTTGCGAGTTGAGTTTTATTCCAGGACCTTACTGAGGACTATCCTCTCAGCTATGAGGAACTGCTCCAAAGAGGTAAGGGAGGAGCCAGGATATATAGCAGTTTTTGCTGGAAAAAAAATATATATATTTGAACATCAAAACATTATTGCTAATCACAAAAAAACAGACATTTCAAGTTAATGATTTTAGGGCTTTTCTATATATGGGAAGATGCAAGAGTCTGGGCTTGTTGAAATTGTTCTTCACAGATGCAACTTAACTGTCGAGCCAGTATCCAGAGCACAGAATATTTCCTGTATTTTTCCATCTTGAATTTCCCTCAAGGCACACCTTGGTAGGGAGTAGGAGGGCCTGGTGGCTGCAGTGGCTGATAACTTGATGGCCGGCAGCATTTGTTGTTTACCAAATGGCAGGCAAGTTTCCCTTTCCACAGGGCCCCGTCTATTTTTTTTTTTTTTTTTTTTTTTTTTTGCCACGCCGAGCGGCTTGTGTGATCTCAGTTCCCTGACCAAGGATTGAACCCAAGCTATGGCAGTGAAAGCCCGGAATCCTAACCACTAGGCCACCAGGGAGCTCCCACACAGGGCCCCCTCTTGGTCATAAATTCGACCAAGGTTTGGGAGGCATTTCATGGTCAATTTGTCATGGAATTCTCATTCCTAGGTCAGAGGAAGATTTCATTGATCAGCCACCCAATGTGCTGTTTCTGTTTTTTTTTAATTTTAAAAATTTTTATTTGGTTGTGCCAGTTGGGGCAGATGTGCTCCTTAGTTGCGGCTCACCGGCTCCTTAGTTGTGGAATGCAAACTCTTAGTTGCGGTATGCATGTGGGATCTTAGTTCCCTGACCAAGGGTTGAACCCAGGCTCCCTGCATTGGGAACACAGAGTCTTAACCATTGTGCCACCAGGGAAGTCCCCCAATGTATTATTTTTGGATTGGGCCCTATTAATAACCTAAAATTCTCTGGATCGTGTGTTTTACTAGTCTATTCCTATAATCCAGGAAATGTTTTCCCTTGTTGCTTCTCCATATCTAGAGTCTCAGTGTTAAAATTATTTTACGTAGAGTTATGTATATGATCAATTGCCTCAAGACATTTAGCCATCATTAATTTTGTTGGAGACCTGATGATACATTAGGTAATGCAAGAGGTCACAATTTTATAAAATAGACAGCATATAAGTAATATAGCTAGTAACGTTAATAAGGTCATAGTACAGCAGAGAGAGACACAAAGCATAAGCAATTTGAGAACAACAAAAAGAGAACAAATTTCAATGATTAGTATAACTAGTTGTAACCTGGTCGCAAGAAGCCATCAAGTCCAGAGGGGAGCTAGCTAGAGAAGCCAAATTCTGGAGGGATCAGGCAGAGAGAAAAAGAGCAGTGTTTCATCTTCATTTACAATACAGAGGTATACTTTATCAACTTGTTGTAGGTCATAGCATAAGAGGAAAGGTTTTCTGGAAAACAGATTAAAAGCCAGCCAGTAATATTTTAGACAAAAAGTCATAAAATTATAAATCATATTTATCAGTTCATTCAGTCCCATGTAATTAATTCCTGTTAATCTGGAAGAAGCCATCAGGTTTCCTGTTAGAGTTTTGTAATTTTTTATCCAGTTCAGTGGTAAGATCTAAAAGTTATCAAAAGTCTTATTTGTCAAAAAGTCCTTTTTATGAATGTCCTTGAAGATCTTCATTTTATAAAAGCATCAGAGTAAAACAATGTCTATAAGTGACAGAAGACTTAAAATGGCATGGTTGAGGGACTTCCCTGGTGGTGCAGTGGTTAAGAATCCAGCTGCCAATGCAGGGGACATGGGTTCGAGCCCTGGTCTGGGAAGATCCCACATGCTGCAGAGTAACTAAGCCCGTGCACCACAACTACTGAGCCTGCGCTCTAGAGCCCGCAAGCCACAACTACTGGGCCCACGTGCCACAACTACTGAAGCCTGTGCACCTAGAGCCCGTGCTCCGCAACAAGAGAAGCCACCACAGTGAGAAGCCTGTGGATGCGCCCTTGGCTGAGCAGGAGGGAGGAGAAGAAGCAGATGCCAACTGCAGGGAGAACGTTTCTTGCCTGTGCAATGGCTGTAAATGGCCAAGGAGGCCTCTGGTGGAAGCACCGCCCCCAGTCACAACACCAGCAGGGCTTCCTTACCGTGTGGGTGAGCTGGTGCCAGAGCACGTTTTCCTGGCAAGCACTTTGTAGGCAGTAGTGGCGGTGCTTACCCAATGCACGAGCCCATGTTGGCTGGGGGGTGGGGGGGATGGGCATATGCAAAGTGGCACCCACAGTCTGTGCACGTACGTCTCCACTTGTGGATATAGAGGACCTGTTTGGGTGGAAGTGGCGGTTATAGGGCACAGGTGTGTCCTGCATGGAGCAGCTGGTGCTAGCCCAGGTGAGCCCTCTGGGAAAAGTGGATGCCACATGACCATAAACATGGGGACGGTAACCAGAGTGGACCTACCTGCGTCTAACAGTTCAGGGAACGCAAAGAGCTGCCCACAGTCCAGACATGAATAGGACTTCTCCCTTCTATGGGTGGCCAGTGCCCTTATTATTCAAAAGCAACAGCCACACTGGAGCCAGGGGAAGTTTGCAGGGTGCTGTGAACCACATAGCTCTCTCTCTCTCTGGGAAGCAGGCAGTTGTCTGTGGAGATGGAGCAGCACATGAGACTGAGTACCCATTCATCCGAGGCACAGGGGTCTGAGTGTGACCCCCTCGTTCAGAGATATCCCACCTGCCTCAGGCACAAGTTTCCCCTTTTCAGGAAAAGTACCATCCCTTCTTCCTCACTCAGGGCCTCCAAGACTGTATAGTGTTCTCATAAGAAAGTGCTGAATTCTTTTCATAGGGAAGCTAACACCCCTCCCTGGTTAAAGACCTTAGATGTGGGCATTTCAGTGAAAACATTTCTCAAACTGAGACCTCAGTGCCTTTTAAGCACACAAAAACACTTGTTGCCACCTTAATTGGAAGGTGGCAAGTCATTAAATTACTTATATTGAGGGGTCTAGGCAGCTTCAAATGGCAGGGTACTTTCTTAGAGGCAAGGGCAGGCCAAGAAACCTGACCAAGTGAACTGGCCCCTCTGCAAGGCCAATCATCTTGCCAAATATGGCAGCGTCTAGGCTTAAATTAGCTAAAAGTTAAAATTCCCTTCCTCAGTCACACTAGCCACATTTTAAGTTCTAAATAGCCACATGTGGATAGTGGCTTCTATGTTGGACAGCATAGATACAGCACATTCTCATAACTGAAGAAAGCTCTGTTGTACAGCAATGCTCTAAATACTCTAAGCAGAAAGAAGGCAAAAGATCTCAATCCCCAAAAGAGCTGCCTCACCCCAAACCCACAGTGTGGACCAGTGGGACCAGCTTCCCTTGAAGGCAAGGAGGATGCCAGGTGTGGTAAAGAAAACTTGGGAAGAGAGGGTTCACTGGATTCGTACTAACTGGGGTCTTTAAAGAGAAGGGCTGGGGAAGGTAGGGGGAGGGGCTCCTGGGAGAAAGGGCCGCCCGGCTCACTCCCAAGAGAGGCTGACTTCCAGCTCAGCTCAGTTTTCCTCACCTATCCCAAATCCTGGGCCCCTCGGCCCCTCCTCGGGATCCTTGGCCTCCGAGCTCCATGCCTCCTTCCTTCCCTCCATCCAGGAGATGAGGGCCGGTTTGGGGCCTGCAAATCCTAGGGGAGAAGGGCCAACAGTGGACAGGGTGAGAGGATGGAGCCTAGAGAAGGTGCTTCCTCTGCGGGGGTGGGGTGCAGCCTCCCGATCACTCGGAGAGAAGACCCGTCCCAACAAGAGACACACTCTCAGGCGCGCCCGGACCGAAGCCTAAGGGTCCCCCGGTCACAAGAAAAAGGTTAAAGGGGAGGGCCGGGCCTCAGCGAGCGCGCCCAGGTGGCCGTAGTTCTCCCGCATCACGTCCCGATACAGGGCCCTCTGCGCTAGCCGCAGACACCCCCACTCCTCCGGGAAGAAGTACAAGGCCACGTCCGCGAAGCTCACGGCGCCCGGCCTCCCTCGCCCGGGCCGGGCCTCCCCCTGCCCGCCGGCAAGGAGCGGGTCCGGGGGCAGCGCCGTGGGTCCAGAGCTTCTCCCCGGGTTCGCCGCTGGGCGCCGGGTTCTGGACGCAGCGGGGCTGAAGCCGGCCTCTGCTCGGACGCAAAGCGCCGCCGAGGAGGCCCGAAAGGCTCTGCGACCAGCCTCTCCTGGGGGCCAGTGAAAACCCCTCTGATGTTATTCTCACGGGTCCTGCAAGAAGCCTGGGAAGATGCCTTCGGGCGCAGTGGGAGCGCGGTTGAATCTCACCCATCGCTAGGCGGCGCCGGGGCCCTAAACTCTTCGCCCTGAAGTGTCATGGCGCTGCTGAGCTTCAC